CTTATTGTATTTTGAGAGGTCTATGTATGTTCTAGATACCACTCCTTTGTAGGGTGTGTGGTTTACAAATATTTCCCTCCACTTCCAGCTTGTACTTCAATCCTCTCGATAGGTCCCTCAAAGAGCAAAACTTTAAAATTGTATGGGGTCTAGTTTATCAATTTTTCCTTATATGGATCATGCTTTTGGTGTCAAATCTAGGAATTCGTTGCCCAGCCCCACATCACAGAGATTCCAGTGCGCACGTGCACACATACACGTATAACATAATGTACAACACAAAACTAGTAAAGTCCACATAGTTTTATGTTTTACTATGTGGAGTTTTATGTTAAACCATGTGTGGTTTAATAGTTTTATGTTTTACATCTAGGCCTGTGACCCACTTTGAGATAATTTTCATAGGAGATACGAGGTTTAGGTTGAGGTATGTGTGTTTTTTTAACCAATGGACATTCAGTTGCCGCATCACCGTTTGTTGAAAGGCTATCTTTCCCCCACTGGATCACTTCTGACTTTGTCAGGAGTGAGTTTGGTATGTTTATACGGGTCTATTTCCAGGTTCTCTATACTGTCCTGTCCACCTATACACCTGTCCCTCTGCCGGTACTGAAGCTCTAGAATAAGTTCTGTGGCGCAGGACCACAGTATGTTCATAATTGTCCCCTTGGTGGACTGACCCTTTATTCATTATAAAATGTCCTTCTTTTTTAAAAAGGTTTTGTTTATTTATTTTTTAGAGAGAGGGGAAGGAAGGGAGAAAGAGAGGGGGGGTGAGGGAGAGAATCATCAGTGTGTGGTTGCCTCTCATGTGGCCCCAGCTGGGGACCTGGCCGGCAACCCAGACATGTGCCCTGACTGGGAATCAAACCCGTAACCCTTTGTTTCAATCCACTGAGCTAGACCAGCCAGGTACCAGAATGTCCTTCTTCTTCTCCAGTAACATTTTTGTCTTAGAGTCTGTTTTGTCTGATAGCACTCCAGTTCTCTTCTGGTGACCATTTTCCATTCATTTACTTTCAACTCACTCGTGTCTTTTAAACTAAAGTATGTCTCATGCACAGCATTGAATTGGGCCATTTAAAAAATCTCTTCGGCCAATCTCAACCTTTTAACTGGAGCGTTCGATCCGTCTACATTGAACATATGACTAAGCAGGTAGGATCTGCACCTGCCATGTTATCATTTGTGTTCTATGGGTCCTATTTTTTGTTCCTCTGTTCTTTCATTACTGCCTTTTTCTCATGTGAAATAGATATTTTCTAGTGTACCATTTGAATTCCTTTGTCATTTCTTTAACATGTTTTTTGAGTTATATTCCTAACGAAGTATACTGAGGATGACAACAGACATCTTAACTTATAAAAACCTAGTTTGGATTAACACTAACTTATTTCAATAGTTTAGAAGGCTTTTATCTCGAATACCATCATGTCCTCCACACCTCATTTGAACTATTATCATGCAAATCACATTTTTGCATATTGTATGCTCATCACAGACTTATAATTGTTGCTTTTTGCAGTTGTCTTTCAAGTAAGAGAGGAGAAAATAGACTTACAGACAAAACCACATTTATACTGTCTTTTATGTTTACCCATGTTGGTACATTCACTGATGCTCTTTATTCTTTGTATGAATTCCAGTTTCCACCCAATGCCCTGTCATTTCACCTGAAAAAGCTTTCTTTATTATTTTTTGTAAAGCTGGTCTGCTGGTGACAAATGCTCTACAGTTTTACCTACCTAGGAAGGTCCCAAGTTTTCTTTCATCTTTTGCAAGCTAGTTTTGCTGGCTATAGAACCCTCGGTTGATAGTCTTTTTCTCTCAGCACGCTGAAACTGCCCGCCCACTGCCTTCCAACTCCGCGGTTTCTGATGAGAAACAAGCTATTAAACATATTGATGACACTTGATACACGACCACTTGCGTCTCCCCTGCTGCTTTCAAGATTCTCTGCCTTTGACCTTCAGGATTTTGCTTAGGACACGTCTGTGCACCTGAGTTGATCGTACTCGGAATTTGTGCAGACGAATGTATTTAATCCACTTTGGGACGTTTCTGGCCTTCTCTCACACCCACCCCAGCAGGGGCCACAGCTGCGGCACCTCATTTGCCCTTGGCATTCGAAAGGGCATTTGTGGCTCCCAGCTCGGCGAGGGTGTACGTCTAGGCCTCCCTCTGGGCTCTCGCCGGCCTGCGCAGTGGTGGGCCTCCGGTTTCTCCGCAGCGTTTGGCTGGGACAGAGTGCGTATTGTCGGCATGTTTCCCGTCTTCTTCTTTCCTGGCTCTTTGGCTTGAGAGAGTAGGCTTCTGGGGAGGCCGCGTCTGTCTGCACCAGGCTGCCAGCATCTTTGGCTTTCAGTCTGAGATACATGATGCCAAAGAACACTCAGGTTACTCACCGTCATGCCATTCTCCGGGTCCCGAGCAACCCACCCCGTCCGCCTTTTCCTCTCAGCCTTTCAGGGTCTTTCTGGAAAGTCGTTTTCAGTTGTGCTTTGCTGAAAGAACAGGGAAGGACACACCTACTCCGTCTTCCTGGAAACAGAGGGTGACTCGATATCCTTTTAAAAGGTACTTTTTCATGGCCACCTCAGCTGGTCACACGTCCGCCTTCTCTCTCCCCCTACTCTTATGTCTGTTCCTTTCACAAACGTCATTTATTTCATTATTCTCATGGAAGACCCTAAACATGCTTTCTTTAAAGTCTTTTCATTTGCAGACCGTTCTATGATTTTAACTTCATCTGGATTTAATTGATATTATAATTATTTATTATGGTGGCCATTATTCTTAGCTTTAGGTGTCTTCCTTGGCTCTAGAGTTTTTATTTTTAGGCTCATTTTTGGGTAAAAGAGTGTCTTTCACATTCTTTCTCTCTCTGTGTACTCACTCCCACCCCCCTCTGGTAGTTTGGTGTTGTATCGGTGATGCCTGGTCCTCAGTACAGAATGGGCTTTATATCAGCAGTGGTGGGCCGCACTTCCTGCCCTTGGGGGTCCGCCTGTCAAGCCAAGGGGCACGAGATTCGTGAGACTGTATGTGCGCTCCCCTGTCGCAGGGCTGCACCTCCCAGAAGCTGTTGCCTCATGAAATGTGGAGGCAGTTTTCAGACTCCTTTCTGAAATAGGGGTGATTCCCCCTCCCCTTGTTTCACACATGCAGTCTGGCTCTGTTCACAGCCTTGTGTCCCTGTTTTGTGTCAGGACACATGGGCCGGCAGGCCCATGGCTTTGTCAACACTCAGCAGCTTGTGTTTCTGGGCCACAGTGGAATTGTCTGTGTTTGCTCCAGCAGGGTCTTTTCCTTGCAGTTTATCATTGTCCTGCGTTTTTGGCAGGCAGGGAAGCTTCATAGCATCGCCAATTGGGATCAAGGGCCGAATAGTCTGCTGTTTTTTGAATTTAAATAAGTCTGTTCATTTTTATTTTGCTTTATTTTTATACTGCTTTATTTTAGATAAAATGAAGCGAAATACGAAGAAATTGTATGTTCAAATTCATTTTTATTTCAAATTCGTTTATTTATTTAAATAAAATAAAGCTTTATTTTTATACTACTTTATTTTCAATAAAGCGAAATACAAAGAAATTGTATGTTTTTTCAAATTCATTTTGATAACTTCTGAAATCACGATGCACCTTGTACTTCACGCACCAGCGAATTCCAGACCCAGTGCCGACTGCACCTGGAATTGCAGCAGATACTGCAGTAATGGGCACGGTGTCCAGGGGCCTGGGAAGGCACAAGGCAGGCTCTGAGGGTAGAGAGGCCCAGGGGAAGCTCACAGCAGCAGATGGGGAGAGCCGTGCAAGTTTAGAAGCAGTGGGAGAGGCACAGGGATCCCAGCCACTTTCTGTAGCCATTGACTTCAGCCCACATGAATGAAGGTCCTGCTGGCATCTGACTTGGGAGATTTCGTGGAGGTAGTTTAAAGAAACACTGTCTCCTTTCTTTTCTCTCTTGCCTTATGCTCCAGGAGTTTTCAACTAGTTACAAAAAAATGCCTCCTTTGGCACACTGGGGTGCACACAGTTGGGGGCATAGCTAGACTGTCTTTCCCAAGCACTCACACCCTCATGTTCCAATTTCCATTTTACAGAAGCAAAAATGGTAAAGGCCCGAGCGAAGGCCTGCCGCTGTCCCAGGCCTGTGTGAGGAGCGAGTTCAGGTGGGGCCAGTGGTCAGCACCTCCCCGCGGGCTGTGTGCACAGGAGACTGACATGGTGGGGTCTTCTCTCTCCCGCCGAGCCTCGGCCTGGATCTGGTGGCTGAGGGGCAGCTCAGCAAGGTCAGGCAGGGAGGCATCTGGGTCCTGAGTCAAACAGTCCATGCTCTGGCCCAGTAATTTTACCCGTTGGGGTTCACCCTGGAGAAAGTGGCAGAGAAAGAGGCTGTGATTTATAGGCAAGTGTGGTTTATAAAACTTCGACGTGGAAAATAAGATAGAGACCCATCAAAAGGGGGCATGGTTAAATAAACCACAGTGCACGACTTCAGTGGAACACTAGGCAATATTTGAAAATCAGGCTGTCGAAATATCTTTAATGGTATCTTTAATATCAAAATTCAGTGTTATTAAGAGTAAAAAATCTCAGAAGGTACAAAAAATTATATAATTAACAAACGACTGGATAGAACGACAGAAATATTACTATGTGTCCTTTCCAGGTGGAGGAATTCTGGGTGACATGAAGGATTTCTTTTAGACTTCTCTGCCATCAGAATTTGCTACAATAGACACTACACTGAATTTGTATTCAGGTTACAATGTAAAAAGCAAGCTTCACTAAAAAAAATCACAACAAATACAAGAAGGGCTTTGCACGTAGTTTAGGGAGAATTAGAGAAATGATAAAAGCACCCACTATCACAAAGTAACAGTAACCGTAGTCATCACTGATTGGCTGCTGAGGAGAGTTGCCCCGGGAGGCGGGGCTGGGCGACATAGGGGCGGGGCTGAACCCGCCACTTCCGGGGCGTGGCTGCAGCCTCTGCACGCGAGCGGGAGGTCTCCATGGCAACTAGTGGGGCCTGCGCAAGACCCACTCGCCGCCACTGCTGCCACTGCCGCTGGCTCCGCACCGACCCTGCCCGCACCGAGGTCACGCTACGACCTGCTCTCTACTACGACCCCGGTCCCGCTCGTGCGCTCGCCCGTGCGCCCGCCCGAGGCCGTCCTTCTCACGCCGCCGCGGCCTCCCTGGCCTGACCTGACCGGGAAGCAGTTCCGGCGGAGGGCCGCTGTGACTCATCCGCCTGCCAGCGTCCCCAGATCGTGCCATCTTGGCTGCGGCCCGCGGGGCACCCGGAGCCACGGAGGGAGCCGCGGAGACCCAGGTACGCGCCCGTCTCAGGCCCCGCGCCTCCGCAGGTGCGTTCGCCCTTTGTTGTGCCCCAGGTGGGCGCCGGCCGCGCCCGAGGAGGGGGCTTCACGCTGTGAGGGGGCTTCGGGCCTGGCTCCCGCCGCGCCCCCAGCTCTTTGGCCCTCCCACGCCGCCTCCCCTACTTCGACCCTGTTTTCTACAATCGAAAGAAACCTTTTAAAAACGTGTTTTCATCCTTCAGGCCCCAGAACAAGTCCAACCTCCTGTGCTGCCCGCCTTGGCTTTGTGAGGTCCGCGATAAAGGAGCAGATCCGGAATCGGGGATCCCAAAGGCCTGCACCACCTCCATCTCTTGGCGTGTCCACCCTGCGTTCACTCTGAATCTTGAACCCTACCTATTCTCTCATTCCTGCCTGGTCTACCCAATTTTAGCATCACCGGTCTTCAGGTTCCGGGTTACCCAAAGCCCGTTCTCCCACCCATCAGTTCATCCTTTGGCTGACCTCTGCCAACATGGTCCAACCCCAGACATCAAAAGCTGAAACCCCAGCCTCTGCAGCCTCTACTAATGCCCAAATGGATGATGTCATTGACACCTTGACCTCTTTGCGCCTCACCAACTCCGCACTCAGGCGGGAGGCCTCTACGCTGAGGGCGGAGAAGGCCAACCTCACTAATATGCTGGAGAGCGTGATGGCAGAGCTGACCTTGTTACGCACCAGGGCCCGGATTCCTGGTGCGCTGCAGATCACCCCGCCCATCTCAGCCATTACCTCGAATGGGACCCGGCCAATGACCACGCCTCCGACCTCTCTGCCTGAGCCTTTTTCCGGGGACCCGGGCCAGCTGGCAGGGTTCTTGATGCAGATGGACAGGTTCATGATCTTCCAGGCCTCCCGCTTTCCAGGTGAGGCCGAGCGCGTGGCCTTCCTTGTGTCCCGGCTGACCGGGGAGGCAGAGAAGTGGGCGATCCCCCACATGCAACCTGACAGCCCCTTGCGAAACAACTATCAGGGGTTCCTGGCGGAGTTGCGGAGAACCTACAAGTCCCCACTGCGGCACGCCCGTCGCGCCCAAATCAGGAAGACTTCTGCCTCCAATCGAGCTGTGCGGGAGCGGCAGATGCTGTGCCGCCAGCTGGCCGCCTCGGGCACAGGCCCCTGCCCTGTGCACCCAGCCTCCAACGGGACTAGTCCCGCCCCTGCCCTGCCCACCCGAGCACGGAACCTTTAAGAACCTGTCACCACCCTGGTCGAGACCGCAACTACCAGGTCCCAAACCCTTTGCTGCATAGAAGAAAAGCCCCTACCACAGCATCCTTGTTTGAGACACCCCTTTCTGCCTCTCCCGACCTGCTCCAGAAGATCTTCATACTCTTGGGCACCTGGTCACCCACCTCGCTTCCTGGTGTTCCGTGCTAGCTCCGCACCTGCGCCCCTGTGCATGTTTCCCCTCCCATGCTTGCAACTGCAGCTCCTCGGGTGACTGCAGCTCTGCTGCTCCATCACATCCACCCCACAACATGCTGCGGACCCTTAGGGCTGACCGACCCTTCCTGGCCTGACAAGGTTCACCAACGCTCCTCTTCTGCCCTCTGCAAACCCCCAGGGCAGCGCCCCACCTGGCTGCCCTGTTCTCACTGATGAGCTTGCTGATGAGAGAAGGCACTTTGGATGGCTGGTGGCTTGATGTGGGGACCTGGAGAAGGGAGTCTGGCCTTCCACCTGTGAGGTTGCTAGTCTGTCCAGGGCCCAGTGTGGCAGGCAGGGGCCCTGTCCTTGCTCTTGGTGGCTGAGCAATCACTGCAGGGATATAGTGCTAGCATGTCTGGGGGCACGCTCCAGTCTGCACCGGAGTATGCAGTCAGTGGGCTGGTGGTTGCTGCTGGGAAAGGCCGAAACACAGGTTAAGGGAGAGACCTAGCGGAGACACTTCGGTGAATGCCTGGCTTGAGCTGCCAGTGTTCTGGTGGCGCCGGGAGTTCTGGGAACCTGGAACTTGCCTGCTAGAGAAGGTGACTGACTTTGGACCACTGGGCTGCTCCCAGAAGCAGCCAGAGCAGCCTGTGCATGCACGCAGTGCCCAAGGACCTCTGCGGGCTGAGGACTTGGCCTCCTGTGGGGATGACCCCTGGTTGCTAGTGCGTGGTTACCCTTCCACTGTCCCATGTCACTTGGTGGCAGGTCTCCTCTGGCTTGAGACTTGTTCTCTTCTCCATTCAGGTGACAAGTGGCCTTCACCTCAGCCCCTCAGCCACCCACAGCATCTGTAGGTCTCCAGAGCCCCCATGTAGCATGCCGCCCCCCCATGCCATCCATCTGGTGTCTAGCCTTTACTCAAGAAAACTTGGCCTCTGACAGCCAGAGACCCACTTCCTTTGGGATGCGTCCGTAAGCACGGAAGGCAAAGCAGGACTGGCCTCTGGTCGCTCCAGCCAGGGCCTCAGTGACATTTGGAAAGGAAAAGAGCTGCGGACTACCTCCATCCTAAGGCGACAGTGCAGACTGACACTCAAGTCCTAACTCTGAGGGACAAAGCCATACTTCTTAGTGGTGGGCAGCGTTGCACTAACTCACGGGGATGCCTGGCATTCTTTTCCCCAGCGAGTCTTGGCCAAGTCATTTGGCCAGTGATGCTCCTGCCACAGTTGAATGCCAAGTGACCTGCATTTATGCAGCCGCCTGGACAATGGGGGGAGCTGGGGTGTCTTACCCTGGGCTTGTCCCTCCCTGTTCTGCTTGGCTGCAGAGGGACAGCTGCTGCACCCACCCAAAGACATATCTTGGGTTACCCAGAGGTTGGGTCTTGGGGCCCATCCTTTCTTCCTACCTAAGAGTTTTGATGATGCTGATGAAAGTGACTGCGTTCCTGAAGCAACTACTGCCTTGCAAGGTCAAGGGTACCCAGTGGTTGCTGATGTTCGTGGGTCACTGCCACTCTCATTGTAAACTCTGTTAGCCCAATTGCCCTGCTGAACAACTGCCTGAATACAGGCGACAGGCCCCCTGGATTCCAGCCACGGCTGTTCAGGTGGGCCCTTGGTGCTCATTAAGCTTGAAGTGGGGGAGGACACAGTGGAGCCCCCCATTCTGGGGGTGGGGCCTCAGTCCAGGTGTGAAGACCACTTCCACTTAGGGCTCAAGTTTCCCTCTGCCTGCATGCCAGGTGGAGGCTGCTGCGATGAAGGGTGCGGCGTCGCCTGGGGCAAAGGAATGCCTGCAGCTGGAGCAGGAGCCTGGAGGCTGTCTGTGTGGCCCAGCGCAGCTGGGGAGGGGGGCCCAATGCAGGTGCAGGGCAGGAACTCGGCTCTCAGCCACCCCAGGCCCACTTCAGTGTCTGCACCAGGTGCAGTGTTTCAGCCACGCTACCCACACACCAGGGCCAGAGCCGCCCACACCTGTGACACTGAACGTGGGCCGCGGTGCCTGGCCCAGCCTGCTGCTCCAGCTTCCTTTAGCCTAGTGACTTAGTGCTTACATTTGTGGGCTTGGGACTGGCGCTGTTGGACACCCACAGCCTTGGCTGCTACCTGCAGCTGTGGAAGCTGGAGCAGGCGAGCGAGTGGGGTGGCCCCCACGTTGGACAGGGAAGAAATGCCACACAGGAGCCCACTGGCTCCAGGAGAAGACACCCAGTCCCCAGCAAAAGTAGATGGGACCTGAGCTCCATGTGGCCCAGATCTAGGCCACAGTGGAGGGCAGGGTCAAGCTGAAGAAGGAAGTGGGGGAGGGGAGCTGCTTCGTACATGCCTTGGGGTTATGCTTTCTCTCCATTTAGGAGAACTTGTATTGATTTACAGAGGGTCAGGCCTTTAGTGTTGATGCATGTGAGGGTCAGATTTGCTTTCCATGGTGTTGGCCTTGGACAGGACTGTGACTGCTTTCTGGTCCATGGCATCCCCGTCTGGGAAGTAAGCTTCATTTCCTAACCACGTCATGTGAGGTGGGATTCCGAGTAAGGGGTGGCTTCCTGGTCCGGTACAGAGTGTGACCTTGGGGTTCGATGCTGAAGTCCTACAGCATTTCAGTGACTTCTGGGGGAAAGCAAGACCCATTTTTCTGGGTCCCAGGTAAGTAAGTGTGTGACGAGTGAGTCAGGTCGAGGACCGTGTGGAGGTGCAGGTGAGGCTCCCTGACACACATGCTTCTGAAAATGGGGGACAGAATCACCCACCGGGTGACTGTGAGCCTGACAGGCCTGTGGGACGGTGGACAGCTGTGGGCAGAGGTGGGCATGGACTTGGGAAGGCAAGGGACCCCTTGACTGTGAGTGGGGCTTTGGGTTGGGAGAGCCGCCTGAGGGTCCCTCTGTCCGTCCAGCAGCCAGAGCTGTGGGACTGAGATCACCTGTGCTCGAGAAGCCATGGCAGCTTCAGGATGAGGAGGGGGTGCTCCTGGGGCGGAGCGGGCTGGCTCTGGGCTGTCAGCGCCTGCAGGTGTAGGGAGGGGCCGAGGGTCAGGGCAGGCCCTCTGCCCACTGAAGGGAGCTGCCGTCTCCCGTGTCACCTCAGGGTCTTGGCACCCGGCATAGTGGAGACCGAAGGAACCCCAGGTCCTCACTTGAACCTCACTAACCCCTTTCCATGAACAAGTAACAGCCTGCTAGGTCTTGGCAAACCTACACATCACAGAGACTCTGGAACATTAAGTAGAGCAAAGAAAAGTGAAATTCAACAGTTTGGGATCTCTCAGCCTCCCTGTCTTCCTTGTTATTACTGGTTTTCTTTGAAACGGCCGGTACTGCTCCATCAGGCAGGCAACTAATCCTTCCCGGTTAGAAATAGATGGTATCTTTGTGCATAAAGCTTTCTCCCATGTCCCACTATCCCCTTAGGATAGATTCTGGAAGAGGGATTGTTGAGTGAAGGTAGGAAAACTGCTGAGGCTGTGGTTACATACTGACCAAACGGCTTTCCAAAATGTGTCCGCTTACACTGCCACCAGCAAGGACGAGTCGGCCCGCTCTGCCGGCCTGCCAGTGCCGAGTATCATCAACGGGCCAAGTCTGCTAATTTGATAATGAAAAGATGGCACTGTGTTTTCATTTGTATTTCTTTGTTTTTAACCCAGTTTAACATCTTTCCATGTTAAGCCAGTTGTGTGTCCTCTTCTGTAAATCGTCACCATCCTTGGCTCTTATTTGTCTCCTGGGGTCTGTCTGACGCATCTGTACAAGCTCGTTGTACATTAAAGATACTAACTGCCGTGTGTCAGCTGCGGTGCGTTCCCAGCCTCTTACTTTTGTGGGTGTTTGACTGCAGCGCCAACAGGCCTCCCCAAGGCTGATACGGTGCCTCCCGGCACTGCCTGCGGACAGCGATGAGGGGCTGGTGTATTCTGTACCTTTTGTTCACAGGTGTGTCGTGGCATTTGTGACAATGCCCTCTGGCACACAGTAGGTGCACAGTAAATTCAGACTTGCACAAGTGGATGTGCTGGGTGCAGAGGACCTGTGTGTGTGTGGGGGGGGAACAGTCCCTGCCCAGGTGCCCACAGGCAAGAGCAGTCCCCACGCTTTGGGTCCCTGAGTCCCTTCACACTCATCACTGAGGACCCTAAAGAGCTTTTGCGTACGTGGGTTTTATTAATAATCATACATTAGCCCTGGTTGGTGTGGGTCAGTGGGTTCAGTGTGGTCTGGGAACCAAAGGGTCACCTGTTTGATTCCTGGTCAGGGCACATGCCTGGGCTGCGGGCTGGGTCCCCAGTAGGGGGCGTGCAAGAGGCAACCATACATTGATGTTTTTCCCTTCCTCCTGCTCCAAAAATAAAAATAAAATCTTAAAAAATACATTAACTGGAAGGTGTTTTAACATATTAAAAATAAACTCATTAATATCAGCACAAAAGCCTCTTTTAATGAAAACTATTTCCCAAAGGAAAAAATTTACAAGCGTGGCACTTTTTTTACATTTTTGCCATTTTTAAAATTGGCCTAATAGAAGACAGCTGGAGTCTCAGACCTGCTTCTGCACGTAATCTCTCGTAAGATCGCCTGTCACAGCCTCTGAAAGATCCCACCGCTCACCCTGAGACAGGGTGGGGCAGCGTGGGGTGGTCGGTGTTACCATGGAAACCCTGTAGCTCCAGGACCCAACAGGGCTTTCGCACTCTGGGAGCTGCTAGTCTGCGAAGACATGAGACTGCCCGGCCCCCAGACATCTATCTCTACCCCATCCTGCGTGGTTTCTTTCATTACCTCAAAGTGAAGAAGGTCCTTTCTTCCCTCTAGAATCGTGAACTTATCTCTGGGATTAGGTGGGCAGGTAGCTCGGAGTGAAGCTCTGACTGGACTTGGTCCCAAATATTTTAACAAACATCCTGAGCTCATGGAGATTCCTTTCTCTTCCTGCTTGGTGTGTGTTTTCTTCATCCCATTTGAAAGCCTTACCTCTTACCCAACTTTCCTGTTATATATTGATCCATTTATTTTTCCAGTACCTCCCTTTTTAGAGTGATTATAGTTTGTGTTCATATCTAGTGGGGTCCCTCTGTTCAGAGTTCTTTTGCTATTCATACCAGATGGACTTGAAAACTTCTGATTTTCCCCAAATCTTGGCAACAAGGGGTGGCACTGGGCAGGCACAGTGGCTCTGGTGAGCTGTGCGCAGGTGCAGCCCTGTGGGCGGGGTGGCCCCTTCCTCCTTCCCCGAGAAGGCCTTGCCCCTGGGGCTCCCACCGACCTGCTTCTCAATGACTGGTTCTTTCACGCCAGGGCTGAAAATGGCACCCCAACCACCCGGCCTGCCCGCAAGTTGCCCGCAAGTCTGTGTGCACGGCTTCGTCCTGGCTGCCCCCGACAGGTGGTCCTGAGAGGTCCACAAGGACCTGGCCCCCCACCATGTCTGGGGGTGGAGGTATGGAGCTCTGCCCCCCACCCCCAGCCAGCCCCACTGTGGGACCCAGTGTGAGGCTGGAGACCAGGAGCCTGGGCAGGACCAGGGCTCCATCCTCAGTGGCTGCAGGGCCCCTGCTCTTGCTTTGGATCCCCCATAGCCAACCAGGGTCCTGAAGACTCCGGGAGACTCTCCACACAGTGAGTGGTGGCTCCATCCACATCATCCCAAGCCAGGGACCTGGGACCTGAGTGTGCTCCTTGCCTTGTGTCCTTCATGGCACCTTCTCCATTTCCAAGGCCTCCCGATGCTGTGCCTAAGCTCTCAGTCTGGAGCTCCGTTCCTGCCACCTTTGTCCTCTTCACCCTCCTGCCTCCCTCCCTGTGCCTAGTGCTGTGTGGAGACAGAGACCACACAGTCCTCCTCTTAGGAAGCCTCCGGGGCCAGCTGCGGGGTCTCGGCTGCGCTCCCCCACCCGCCCCAGGCCCCATCTAGGAACTTCGCTTCTTACTGAGCTTACTTTCACCTGTGCTCCCTGAGGGCGGAGCTGAGGTCTGCTCCATCCATGCTCCTGGCCCCTCCTCCAGGGCCTGGCAGAGAAGCTGCTTGGGGATGGTTCAGTTGTTGACCAGAAGGACGGCAGAACAACACTGGCTTTGAGTCTCAGGTGCTCACCTGCTGAGGGCCAGGCACTGGTCCAGAACCCTACCCTGTGATGGCGAGACAAAGACCACTGTTGTGGAGCTTCTGTCCCTGAGTGGGAAGAGCAGCAGCAAGCCCATGCGCCTGTCACAGGGAAGAAGGCTGGGCCGGTGGCCAGTGGAGGCTTCCCTCCTGAGACCAGTGCAGGTCACTAACTAGCTATGGTTCCGCGCACTGTGGCAGGGGGACTAATTTCCACGCAGCGAAACCCTCCACGTTAAGCTTGCCATTGGGTGAGTTTGAAACGTGTACTGTGTACACCACCCTGCCAAGGTATACAAAGCACGTCGCCACCCAGATGTTTCCCTAAAGCTCCTGAGGAGTTCTAGTAACAGTTCCCGAGACACGAAGGTACTCTGTATTTCTTCTGAAAACCATAGCTGCAACTTTGCCACGTGGCTCTCTGATGCATCCGCCATGATCTGGTGGGGGAGGACGTGGGGCTGAAATGCGTGTTTGCCCCTCTGGCCAGCCAGCCCCTCATTTTAGAGCCACTTGTTGAAAGACTTTCTGTTTCCCTACTGGGTGGCTTCGGTGGCTTTGCATGAGTGGAGAACGGTTGGTTTGCTCCTGGACTCGGTTCTGTCGCGCTCGTCTATTCCTCCGTCTGTACGCAGGCACTGTGCTGCCTTCACTACTGAGACTGCACCGGACGCTTTGCTCTCAGTGCAAACCCGGCTCGCGCAGGGCCCCCCTTTCCCAGGTCCCAGTCTGCGCTGAGCCGTGCAGTAAGTCACCAGACGCCTGGGGCCGTTCAAATGTATCGAAATGAAGTTACACTAAAGATTCAGTTCCTCAGGCACAATAACCGCATTTACAAAGCTCAGTAGTACATTTGTATTGCCACATCCATTTTCAGTCCTTTGCAATTCCATGGAAGGTTTAGGATCATTTTATCAATTTCTATTTTAAAAGCCTGCTGGGGCTATGCCTGGAAGAAATGAAACCTGCAGATTAAAGGGAGGGAGAACCGACATTTTAATAATATTGAGTCATCCAACACACGAATGCGGTTTCTCTTTCCAGGACTCCTTCAATTTTTCTCACCAGCTTTATTGTTTTTAGTTAGTGGCTTTACGCATCTCATGTGAATATATCCCTAAGAATTTTATGATTCCTGATGCTGCTGTAAATGGAATTACAATGTTTTTCATTTGGCAGTCATTTGTTCCTTGTGTATAAAACCCAAACTAATATTTACATCCACTTTTGCGACTTTTGCAGTATCCATTTGTTAGTTCCAGTACGTATTCCCCAGATTCCTTAGGGTTTTCTGCACACACGCGGCCACATCGTCAATGAACGGAGGGAGTTTACACCTGCTTGCTAGTTCCCCTGCCCTTCCATTGCCCCCGCCTGCCCTTCCGCACTGTGCAGGACTTCCGGTTCGGCGTCCTGCAGAGGTCGCGCATGCGCAGCCCGGCCTCTCCGCGAGCTTTGGGGAGTGCAGGTGGTGTCACCACTGGGTGTGACGCCCCGCGGAGGGTTTTTCCTGCGTGGCTTTTATCGCAGTCACCAAGTTTCCGTCTGTCCCGAACTGTGAGGGTTTTCAAACTGAATCGTTTGGATGCGGAATTTTGTTGCTGCCTTTTCCACATCGATTTAAACCCTCATATTTCTTTTCTCTTTTGTTCTGTGAACATGGTGAGTGAAACAGATTGATTTTCAAACGATAAAGCCAACCCTGCCCTCCTGGGAGAAACGCACTTGGTCCCTGAGTGTTACTCTTACTGTAAACGCGGCAGTGGGTTTGCTGGTGTTTCGCAGTTCCTTCGGGCTTGTCTTCAGCGGGGCTACTGGCCAGCAGTCTCCGTCTGCAGTGTCTTCGTTCCCCGCTGGCACGTGACGAATCACAAGACTGGGAGCCGTGCCCCTCGCCATTTTCTGAACGCGTTCGCAAGGTTGGATTTTTCCTTCCTTCGTTGTTTGAGAGACAATTGTTGGATGGAGGCACCGGGCCTGGAGGTTTCTCCATGGCGACAAGGGGTCTGATGCGAGTTCAGCGCGTTAGTGGGTGGACCGGACGGATCAGCTGTCCGTTTCTCCTCTGGGGAGCTTGGGTGGTGTGTCCTTCAGAAAACTTGTCCGTTTGGTCAAAGATAGGAAATTTGTCTGCAGAGATCCTCAGGACAGTCCCTTGTTCTCTCCGTGATGTGGGGGGGGGGGGGGGAGGGAATCTTAGTGCCTCCCCCCTTTCATTGCTTCACGGTGGGGAGTTGTGTCTTCTTAGTTTTTCTGATCGTTCTAATTAGGGATTTATTGATCTTAGCAAAGTAGCATTTTTTACAAATTTCATCGATTTAGCCCATATTTCTGTTTTCCATATTGTTGATTCCTGCTATTATCTTAATTATCTCCTTCCTCCACCTTATTTTAGGGTTAATTTGCTCTCTTTTTCAAGTTCAAGTTGAAGCATTTTTTAAAGAGGAGGGTCTGGGACGGGCATGGCTTTGCATGTTTGTGTATCAAAGAAAGGGCCACTCTCTCTGGCCTCTGGCCCTGTCCCCACTATTCCTGGCGACCCCAAGTGAGGGCCTACGGACAAGAGCTCACGGGTGAGCGTGACCTCCACTGGGTCTGGGCCCCAGTAACCTTCAGGGGTCACAGTGTCCCATTCTCCTCTAAGAATGTATTAGAATGTTGGTGCTTTCTGGCCACCCCTTTGTCTCCCCGCTCT